GACAAAATGAATTAGGTGGTGTGTTGAGAATGTAATTCCTTCTGTCGAAGCAGGTAGTGCTCGACAAAAACAAGGATGTGTCGAAATTAGCTCAGTGTGTCGAAATGTCGAAGCAGGTTGCTCATCAAGATTTTGACTTAAGCTTATTTAAGTAGTATTAGCTAAATTGGATATTTTGGGTTGTTGTGTTTTAGACCTTGCCTTAAGAAGCAAGCTAACCTAAAACTATAAATAAAGAGAGTAACCCCTATTCTTGTAACAACTTGAATTTACAGAATTTTGCAGTTGCAAAGTGTTCTGGCCTGGGCCCAGTCCAATAATGACCCACCAAGCCCTATTCTGTCGGGGCACGAGGTCCCCGGCAAGCCAAAGAGGCCTCCCCACGGGAAGGCCTACCCCCACGTCGGGCTGAAGGCTCCCCGTCCAGCAGACATTACCCTCCGCGGGCAGGACCTTGCCCTCCGCGGGCAGGAACTTCCCCTCCGCGAGGAGAACAACGTGCCATGCGCACGTTCTCCACGTGCTCCCCTCCGCGGGGACACGTCACCAACCAACTGCCCACCTCCGAAAGAGTAGGTCAAACCCACCTTTCGGAGATCACGGGACAGTTGGACTAGGGCGAAGAGCACGTCCTGGTCTTCACTACGCCACGTAAGCCCTAACAGTCACCTGAGTTGGGCCTGACAATCCAGCCCAACACAAGTGACCGTTGGCCCAGTGTTGGGGTCTCTCTATAAATACCCTCTTCCACAAGAGGGTCAGGTAATTCACTTCTTACCCCATTTCTGTACTTTGCTCTCACTCTGCCCAATTCCTTACTTTGGCATCGGAGTGTCTTGCAGGTACACCCCCTTCTCCTCTTCATCACCGGTGAACAGGTAGCAGTCCAACAGCGTGTGGCCAGCCCGTGATCCCCTTCTGATCAGGTCAGATCACAAAGTAAATAAAATTTTCACAGTTTGTGGGTAAAGAGTTACTCTGCAGAAATCACCATCTTCTTTTATATTTTGTCAAACCTTAATTTTCTTTCTTCTACAATTTTTCTTTCTTTTCATTGTTATTGTGTATCGATAATAATCTTGTTCATCAAGATTGATAGAAATTCTCCATAGATTATGATGGATTTTCAACACTAAGCCGATGAAATATGTCCAAAATCATTGCATTTAAAATGTACATTATTTTAAACCATACAATTGAAATCAGACTATCACTGATATGCTAACTGATGAAATATTATACTGCGAAAATATTAATGATATTTATTTATTACTATATATAAAAGAAATACAATGTTTTAGGCTGACCTATTTTAATGACAAGGTTACCCTCTAACTTATTTTTTTATGACAAATTTACCCTCTAACTTCCTTATCTCTTTAGAAGTTTTTATTTATAAAAAAATTGTGCTATTTAACTCCTCACGTTATCATTACTCAATGGTAATAACAATATTATGCACTAGAAGAATATTTTAGAGAAAACGTTTTCAGAGCATTTAAAGTGTGCATGAGAAATGAGTGAGGGAGATGAAGAAGAATTTGAGCGATCAAAATTAAATTACTATTCTTATGCACAAATGTACATCACAAAATTTATTACATAAATAATTTAAATTAAAAATAAAATTAAATAAAAACATGTTTATGTTTTGACGTGTACTCACACTTAAAAAATCAGACAAATGGGCACGTAAATGCTCGATTAGACGCTAGTATTTATAACTGGCATTCAGTTTTTGTATTTACTGTTCTTAACAGCAAATCAATCAATTTACCTTCCTAAATAGAGATATTCATAGAATACCCTTGCATATCATTCAATGACAATATATGACCCGTAAAAACCATAGACAGTAAGGAAAATCCTATTGTTTGTGTAATCTTTCAAATCATAATATATGCATAAACGAGAAGAGTATAGCACCTGATTCATTTGTGTGAACTGTGAAGCAATTTCAAATGAGTTGGGCTAAATGCATAATGAAGTCTTATAGCAAGTAATTTGTGGAAAAATAAACCTATAATGATAAATACTATAATAAGTATACTTATTAAAATCCTACTCAGAAAACAAAAACAAAAAAATGAAACAACATTAGAATTGTGTTCAATACATGACATTTAACTTATGCATGAATTATTATCATAACACTCATAGTGTTTACACACTCTGCATTGCATCTTAATATCTACACAAGTTACAATACTTCAGATGATAAATGGGTTGGAGATGTTGAAGCAAAAGACAAAAAGGGTTTGGGTGGCATTTCCAACACTTGAAGGCTCCCTTCCAACATTTCCACCACTTTATGCATTGATGGTCGATTCGATGGGTTGGTTTGTATTCACCATAAACTCACCGCTGTCATTTTTCTCACCATTTCTTCATCAATCTCATTTTTAATACACTTTAATCCAAGATCCTGATTTAACGCAAGACGTTTGTAAATCCAGTGAGAAAAATATAATTTGCAAGAACAGTCCACTCCAACCTTAATGATTATTCTACGACCAACCATCATTCCATAGCTGTAGACATCCGATTTATGTGACACCTCACAAAATTTCTAGAAAACAACTCAGAGCAATATATCATGGTGTTCCTCTCGCGCCATATATGGATATGTTGTGAATTAAGATAAAATTTAACATCAATCTGTGGGGCAAAGAAGAATAGTAACTATAGATAAGTTATAAGAAAATAGCGTTCGCCTTCAACTTCTCAAAAACAACTCTCAAGACGGCCAAGAACAACCCTATTTTCTACCAACTCTGAATATATGAATCACTCAAACTAAGGTGTGTAATCCACTCAAACTAAGGTGTGTAATCCATGGTTTTCTTTGTGCATAGTTGAAACCCTATGCTATAATTTTAAACTCTTGATCTCCCTTCTTGGTGAAAACTCTAAGATTGTCACACACCAAACATATCAGAGATAAATATTTATAATAACAAATACTCAAAAAAATAAAACCTAAAATCACATAGATTCATGGACCAATCAAAAAAGTCCGAAAACTCGAAAATACTATTTACCGTACTGACGATACTATTCACAGTACGGACGACACTATTCACCTACTGTTTTTTTTCTGATTTTTCGTCCGATTTTCGCGGTAAATGCAATTTCTAAAATATGTTTTCTTTCTTTTCATCAACAAAGATTTTAAGACACATTTACAACATGTTACAATGCTTTCTTTTCTTGGACATATTTTAACAAGTCCAAAATCCGAAATTTTTGGACAAAAATCCTCATTTAGTAATATATTACGAGGCTTTATGTCAAAATGAAAGATTCTAGTGTTGCAACCTGCAAGTACTCTAAACTACGAGCAACGCCAACTGCAATATCATACAATGTTTTGCAATCCAATTGAATATCATCTTGGATTGGATTTTTCTCTTCATATATTGAACTTTTCAAGAGATCCATTAGTCATGAATTCATATACTAGCGACTTTTTAGAACCATCCAAACAAAACCCCAAAAGTCTAACAACATTAACATGTGAAGTTCTAGTGATACTAGCAACTTCATTAATGAAATCTTCACCATTACCTTTTGATTCACTCAAAATCTTCACTGCAACATTACGCTCATCATATAATTTCCCTTTGTATACACTTCCGTGCCCTCCTTGGCCTAATTTATTTTTGAAGAAATTTGTTATTTTTTTTTATATCTGAATAACTGTATTTAGCAGCAGAGAGAGGACCGTGTTCCTTCAAAAACTTTCCAATAATCTTACCTCGGTTTGATGAGTCGCAACCGAAGAATAATCTTACCTCGGTTTGATTATGTGCAAGAGAGAACATGTTATTAAGAAAACTGAGGCTTTGAGCAAGTGGAAATGAAAGACAACCTTTTTTTGTGTCTGTTCTGGAAAACATAGGATTGGACACTCTTAATGAATGATTCTGATAGAATATTTGCTTGATTATGTTAAAAGTATTAGAAAGATTAAGGATTGGAAAACCAATAGTATTGTCACAAGTGAGACCAAAACCAGGATAGCCACAGAAGGGTTCTTGTATTCCTTTGATGTAGAAAGGGTAGGTTATAGTTTGGTTTCCACATGTTTTGGGTTCACAAGCTTCAAATTTTGGATCTACAGCATTGCTTAGAGTGTTTATGGTGAAGAAATAGAACAGGGTGATGCAGTATGAACAAATCAGAGAAGAAGAGATAAACAAAGAGTTCTTTTTGTTCATTCTGAAGATGGAAAATTCACCAATAAACTAGCAATGTTAACATGAGAAGTGACACTAATACTAGCAACCTCGTTAATGAATTCTTCGCCATTACCATTGGATTCGCTTAATACTTTTACTGCCACGAGACTTCCATCTTGTAATTTTCCTTTGTATTACAGAAGTGCATCATCACCCGTACTCGTACATACGTATGAGTATTTTACTAGTTACGGTCATTGCATAAATCAAGTCGTTAAAAAGAAAAACTTATCAAATTCGTTAGTTGACTTAGAAAAGCAAGGTGAAAAGACTTGGTAAAAGAGAGAGGTAACACATGTGTGCTTCTTGCCATGTCTTAATTTTATTGGTTGATAAGGCTGGACCAACTGCTCTATTTCGTCTATAAACAAAATAGAACATTCCGGGATTGACTCTTTCAATATTCAAAATTTTCAGCTATGGCTAGGGAAAATTTATTTCCAAAAGATATTTTTTCTTTTGAATACAAATTCTACAAGGTTGTTTGAATCATTTTAGGCTTTAATTTTCCTGCCTTTATTTTCTTTCAGCAAGGCTAATCTAAAAAGGACAGCGACGTTAAGAAAAATCCTATTGTTTGTGTCATTTGGGTGAATTGTGACGCGGGTTTAGTACAAAAATGAAATCTTTAAACCAATTTGGACAATACATGTTTTCCTTCAATAGATAGGAATAACATTGTTGTGTTAAATATAATAATAAAGATATGTGCTAACTGCGTAAGAAATGATAAAACATTACAAATCTATTAGACACAAATTATAATATTTCTGATGAAAAATGGGTTGGAGATGTTGAAGGAGAAGACAAAAAGGGTTTGGGTGGCATTTCCAGCACTTGAAGGCTCCCTTCCAACATTTCCACCACTTTATGCATCGATGGTCGATTCGAAGGGTTGGTTTGTATGCACCATAAACTCACCACTGTCATTTTTCTTACCATTTCTTCATCAATTTCGTTTTTAATACACCTAAGTCCAAGATCCTGATTCAATTCAAGGCGCTTGTAAATCCAATGTGGAAAGTATAGCTCGCTAGAACAATCAACTTCAACCTTAATATTCTTTCTTCGACCAACCATCTCTAAGACCATCATTCCATAGCTGTAGACGTCTGATTTATGTGACACACCTCCAAAATTTCTGGAAAACAACTCTGGAGCAATATATCCCGGTGTTCCTCTTGCGCCAAATATGGATACAATGCTTTCTTTTCTCGGACATATTTTGGCAAGTCCAAAATCTGAAATTTTTGGACAAAAATCAGCATCTAGTAATATATTATGAGGCTTTATGTCAAAATGTAAGATTCTAGTGTTGCAGCCTCTGTGCAAGTACTCTAATCCATGAGCAACGCCAATTGCAATATCATACAATGTTTTGCAATCCAATTGGATATCATTCTGCAGTATATTTTTCTCTTCATATATGAATTTTTCAAGAGAACCATTAGGCATGAATTCGTATATTAGTGCCTTTTTAGAACCCTCCAAGCAGAACCCCAAAAGTCTAACAACATTGACATGTGAAGTTCTACTGATACTTGCAACTTCATTGATGAAATCTTCACCATCACCTTTTGATTCACTTAAAATCTTCACTGCAACAGGTTGCTCATCGTGTAATTTCCCTTTGTATACACTTCCGTACCCTCCTTGCCCTAATTTGTTTTTGAAAGAGTTTGTTATTTTTTTTATATCAGAATAACTGTAGCTAGCCGCAGCTGGAAGAGGTCCATGTTCTTTCAAATACTCCTCAATAATAAGCTGGGTTGAATTTCCCTTTCGGAAGAAAAGAAATAATGGAGTGGAGATCTTTGTCCTTAAACAATAAGCCAACAACATCAGCACTGCAACTCCAATGGTCACCATGATTGCTGGAGAAAGTTCAATCATTTGAAACATAACAAAGATCTTTTTAGTGTAAGAAAGTAATGACTTTGATTTAACAAGAAAGTAATGGCTTCTACATACAAAAAAATTTATATTTTAATGTTCGGCAGACTAAACTTTGATTTTCTTCTACGAAATTAGCGTTGTAAACTTTTACACTAAAGACAAATGAAATTTGAAGCCGTGACATGAAAGTTTATGTGAACATTACATTACCTATACCGAGTTTAACATTCCATCTCATCCCTTTTCGCCTTGCATTCATAACTGCAAATTCAGATTTGAGAGATGAAAATAAAGTTGTGCAAGGAAAAATAATGTGCAATGTATTTATGTCTGTTGTACTATGAAGCAAGACACCTGAACCCGACATCGACATTGACGCAGTTACATTGATAATAAACTTAAAAGATGAATAAATTAAGCGTTATCAAATGTGTCGGTGTTGATGTCTGCCACCAACATAGACACAAACACACCTTTTTTCAGAGGTAGTGGTGCTACTGAGATGCTTCCGTTGGCACAATAAAACCTTTCGTTGCTGTCAAGTTGACACTGTCCTTTTTGGTTGTAGTGACAACTTACACATTCCTCGGTTATTTTTACTTGAGTTATAATATCAGACGTTATGAAAGTAAAAGGGTTGTCAATGTCAGCAAAGTCTTTAGCCGGAAGCAGGGCATTTGTACAAGCTGTAAAAGGACTGCGGGATGTTTTATCAGCATAGCTATAAGGTTGGTAGTAGAGATCATAGAGAGGACACTTTATATACTTGTGCATATATTTTGGAGGGTTTAGATGGAGGGAACGGTTGCACATGAACAAGGTTGCATGAGTTACTAAATGTAAAGAAACAAAGTGAGAGGTGGGAGGAAGAATATAACTATATCTCAAAGCTTCACAACTTTTGTTTTGTAGCAGTTGGTAGAGATTATTGTCTCTGAAAACAAAAGATAAAGTAGCATTGCTACTACCGCGAAACTCAAGAGAATTTACAATTCCAACCTCAAACCATTTCCCTTTATCTTGAAATTGGATCCTTTTGGGCTTCATTGCATCGTCACAATTTTGTATTGGCAATAAGCCACAGTCCTGGCGTTGTGTTGTAGTGAAAGGGAAGCTGATATTACCAAGGTATCCACAACTAAATGAAGCCGGACAATCTTCTTGGTAGCCATTACCAAGTAGCATAAGTTGAGAAAACAAAAGGAACAAAAATTTGTAAACTAAGACCATCATGAATAGCCTACTAATACGTTTATGAGCTAAAATACTTTATAATATAAGCAAAGTCTTCATTCATTTTTCACCATACACTTAATGTATGAAATAGCTTCTTAGTTGACTGCAGAAGACTTGGACTAATGACTAATCAAATATTTACATATTCAAACAAATAAACACACGCTATGTGGTATCAATTCAACAGGTTTGTTAAATAGAGTAAAACAACCGTTTCCTTTTACTTTTACTTTTTTTCTTCTAGTTATCCTCTCACACACTCTAGTAAAAAAAAAAACTAAATAAAAAAAAAAAGAAAACAAAGGGCTATGAGTCAAAAAGACATAATGAAAAATAAACATGTTTCACAGTACAATTCCTGCATGCAATCATAAGAAATTGGTATTTCAATCCATAAGTAGAGGTTAAAATTTATATACAGGAAGTTGGAGTTACGCATAGTTAGATAATTAAGATTATTTTGATTTTAAATATACATTAAATATCCACTAGTGCAGAAATGACTTTTTACATCAGGTCAAAAGTCCAGTTTATATCGGGTCTGAGTCTGATATAACATCAAGCTATGTAGTAAGTCAAAGATATTTTACATCAAGCCGTAGACCGATGTAAAAAATACATCTATTACATCGGTTGACAGTTAAGACTGATGTGAAATATGAATTTATTATTTGTTTTAAAAAAACACTTTTTACATCGGTTGGTATTTCGAACCAATGTAAAAGGTGTCATAGGTGAGTTTTTACATCGATTGTTCAGAAGAACCGATGTAAAAGGTGTCATATGTGTGTTTTTTACATCGGTTGCCTTTTTGGCCCGATGTAAAAGGTGTGCTACGTGTCTTTAAAAATTATATTTTTACATCGGTTTCTAGGCACAACCGATGTAAAATGTAGGTTGTTTTTCTTAAAAATTGACTAATTTTTATCCGAATTGATGTGTAATCCCTGTAGTTTTTTTGGTACCTAATTTTTCATATTTTTTCAACATCACACACACCACATTTTAGTCTCTATTTGGTATGCAATTTAATTTTCATATTTTTTCAACTAATCTTTTAGTTTCATTGCACCAAATAGTTAGGATGCACATATTCTTCAACATGAACAAATTGATTTACAAAAGTCATAAACTAGTATACACACAAGTGTACAAAATTATATGTATTTTTACACGATGGACTAATACAACAACAAAACTAGTGAAAACAAACAAAAATATTCAACCATTTATAAGTCCTTTACCACACTTGAATACAAACGTGCAATCCACAAGAAATGAGTTGCAGCTAGCTTCGGTCGACAACACCAAAATCACATTTGCTGACAATAAATGATAATACCAATAAACATCAACAGACAATACCAAAGTCAAGAAACTCAATTCAGATATATATAGACAATACCAAAGTCAAGAAACTCAATACCAAAATCACATTTGCTGACAATAAATGATAATACCAATAAACATCAACGGACAATACCAAAGTCAAGAAACTCAATTCAGATATATATAGACAATTCTATATAACTCACCATATAAAGCTTAATTTTTATATAACTCAAAGAAATATTTTGCCCAACAGAGTCGCAAATCATACAAATCATCTTGTGTTAATTCTGTTGAGTCATCAAATACCTACGATACGTAAATAACAATATAAAGTTATTCTTTAAAAATTCACCTTAAGTTGCAAAACGCAAAGTAAATAACAAAGTAAAATTATTTTTATTTACCTGCAACCAATACTCAGTTATATTGGCAGAGACAATATCCAACATATTTTTCATAACATAGTACCCACAATCAATAGAGTTATGTTGTAGCCTTGTCTAATATGAATGACACAATTAGTGAATACTTATAATAAAATTAAATATAGAATTATAATTTACATCACGCTTACTTTGGGTTGGAGCCATATAACCTTTTTTCTATTGCCATTTGTCATTTGATAAACCCCGAAAGCACTAATTCAGGAAACAAATACCATATAGAGCAACATAAAATATTAAATTACTTTTGTAAAATTTTATGTATATGAAATATAGCATATATTATAACAAAAGTCAGATAAAATATAAACTTACTTTGTAACAATTTTCTTCATGGTTGGATTAAGTTTCCGATGAAGTGAACAAAAGACGACCGCAATATTGTCTCTTGAACAAATGACTATTAATTGCCAATGATCTTTGTACGTGTGCGTGAAAACACAAAAGTCACATAAAATATATATGTTATCAAAAATAAAAAATAGAAAAAACACTTTCATACAAACTTATCCATGAATAAATGGTAGTAAGTGACACACTCTCTTTTCGTCACATAATTTATCTTGTATGTATTTTTTAACCTTTGTTTTAGTTTTTTGCACATTATCAACATACACACACCTAGCAGGGTTCATAAATCCATATACTTCTGATGTGGATTTATCAATACATACACGATGAATATACCTGAATAATTTTAAAATAAACATTAGAATCAAAGTGATGAGAGATATAACATATTAATAGGTATTAACAGTAATAATTAAAAAAAAAGAAAATGTACTTACGTGGACCAAACATGCAGAATAGACACGTCAAGCCAATGAAAACCCACCAACAACTCTCTGATACACTTAGCTGACATATAAAAATTAGTGACACTCGCACAATGACTTAATTTTATTTTCAAGTGTGTCACCCATTTTCAGAACCATGGGTCACAATCTCTGAACATCGTCTTCCACTTCTTTTATGCTTCCTTTTGCAGCTGAACAAATTTCTTTTCCGCTTTCCTCGACAACCTCCATTTGTTCAATGTATTTTTTATTTTCTGTGCTTTGCGAGAGACCCATAGACCTAATTCTCTCCATAAAAGATTGTTGCAACACCTTACGCTCTTCAACCAACTTTTGTTCAAAATCAACTCTAAGTTTTGCTTCCAATTCCAAAGAAAATTGCGCTAGTTTTTCTTATACATCCATATGTTGTCGTCGACGTGAAGACGACCTTCCAAAAAAAGTGCTAATTTTATGGTGTTTTCCAACACCACGAACCCGACCGCCATGCTCATATGTTCCAATGGCTACTGTTAAGATATCGTTAGGTCCATCTGGAACAAAGACACCCTTTTCAGCTTTCTCAACTAGAGAATCCTACAAAATTAAAAAAACAAAACTAATTTCAATAGTTTTTATCAATCACAACTATAATGATACTTAAAGTATTTTCTAAATTTTACTTACAATTTTCTCAGCAACAACTTGTGTAGAATGTGATGTGTATTCTCCCCCCTTCTTTTGTCGTGCTCTCTTCCATATTCCATGGCGTGACGGTGGAGATGGACTACCATTATCATCTATTGCGGAATCATCTCTCGATGATTTCCTTTCATTTTTCATTTAGCATTACTTTCAGCAAACTGTATAAATTCCATCACTCCATGTTCGTACTCAGTACTTAATCGATTAGCTCTCATCCAACCACGATACATACCTATGTTCTGAAATTAACACATACATAGTTAAATCATTGTGACGCCTACAATAGTCCCTTTTTTGGACACATTAGAGAGAACAAAAGTCTCTACGTGTAAACACGTGGCATTAAATTAAATCATAAAAATTATTCCTAACAAAATGGTATTATCATAAAAATTCCATTACTCAATTTTAATCCAAATAGAACCAAATTAACATCAAAATTATTTAACATTTTTATCTTCAATTTAACGCAAATAGAATCAAATTGACATCAAAATATTTCAATCATTTTTACAAAAAGCTATTATTATAAACCGTAAAATTATGTACTGTTAAAGATACCTTATAGACCGTTGTTATTATTGGCAGAGTACTAGAAAGTAGAAAAAGTTCAAGGTTGTCTCTCCAAGCCAACAAGCACAAGGTTGTTTCTCCTAAGAATTTATCCAAATAATGAGAAATTGTTATTTTACCATCTGAAATCACATTATGTTAAATATCACTACTAATTTAAGCAACAATATGATGTTAAAAATTGCAGTGTAAGGTTGTCACTAAATTTTCTACACACTACATGTTAAAAATATCACTACTAAATTTAACAATATGATGTTGAAAATATATGAAACAAACTGAATTTTCTACACACTAAATTTCAAAATCCAGAATTCTTACAAAAAGTTAATATTAAAAATAGTAAAATAATGTACTGTTAAAGACACCTTAAAGAAACCACGCGAACGAAAATGGCAGAGGGAGAACCACGCGAACGAAAATGGCAAGGGAGGCCTGACGCGAACAAAAATGGTGGAGGGAGAACGGAGGCGAACGAAAATGGCGGAGGGACGACGGAAGAAGAAGATGGCGACGGTGAAAGATGGCACGGTGGAACGAAAACGGCGGAGGGACGGTGGAAGAAGAAGGTGGAACGAAAATGGCGAAGCGTTTAAGGAAGAAGAAGAAAAACGGCGGAGGGACCGTGGAAGAAGAAGGTGGAACGAAAAATGGCGGAGCGTTTAAGGAAGAAGAAGAAAAATGGATTTTGGAATTTTGAGAATGTAAACATTACGGGTAGGGTGTTGGCTTTTAAGGAAGATTTTACATCGGTTGGCATATGGGCCGATGTAAAATCCTTTAACTTAAAACATTTTACAGCGCATCCTGTTAATGGACCGATGTAAAATTTTGTTAAGGTCTGGCACTTTTTACATCGGTTGTAATTAAAGGACCGTTGTAAAATCCTTCTAACCATTTTTTACATCGGTTGTAATTAATGGCCCGATGTAAAATGTTTAATCCATTTTATTTATTTTTTTATTTAGAACTTTTTACATCGGTTGGGATAAATGGCCCGATGTAAAATGTTTAATTAATATATTTTATTTATTTTTTTATTGAGGTACTTTTTACATTGATTGGGATAAATGGCCCGATGTAAAATATTTAATTAATATATTTTATTTATTTTTTTATTGAGGTGCTTTTTACATCGGTTGGGGTAAACAGACCGATGTAAAAT